ACTCTGGGCCCTGGATCTGCTGGTGGTCCCCATCTGCAGCTCTCGGCCCTGAAGCGCGGACCGTCCGAAGGGCCGGGCACGCGGCACGCTGTTTGGCCCACGCCCCGGCGCCTGTACTGGGGCGACAGTGGTCGTCGGACGCTGTTTACACAACTTGTCAGCTATTGTGGAGAGCGAGCCTCGCTAATGGTGGCCGGTCTCGACAGCTCGGCCGAGCGCGGGCGCCGGTCCGCAGCTCGGCCGAGCGCGGGCGGCGGGGAGCGGCTCGGCCGACACCGGACCAGTGCAGTGGCCTCCGCCCGACACTGGACCAGTGCTCGCTGCTCACCTTTAAGGGAATTACAAACACCGTGTTATGCCCACTTGAGCCGGAGCTGTGAATTGGATATCATCACCTTAGCAGACATCTGGTCCGTCCATTTACATTTTCTGTCGGTATCTACTTCTCTATGCATTTATCTGTCAGCTAAAGCTGCCGCGCTGCCGTCGGGTCAGGGTCGTCTTGTAGGGGCGCTGAGGTGTCCTGTCAAATCGTTTGGGGGCTGTCCTCCCGCGTCACTGACCCCCCCCCCCCCTCCTGTGCCTGCCCGTGCCCGTGTCGCCCCCCCCCCCCCCCGGGTCAGCGCCCTCGGCGGGTCAGCTCAGCTCCCTCCCCAGGTCAGCCCCCTCCTCGGGTCAGTCCCCTCCCCGGGTCAGGTCAGCCCCCTCCCCGGGTCAGCGCCCTCGGCGGTCCACTCAGCCGCGCCGCCCACTCCCCACTGCAACTGGCCGGCGGACAGAATTGAATCGGCCGCCGCCGGCGTCGTCCCTCAGTAACGGAGCCTTAGCCAGAACGAATGTCATGAATAGACGATGTGGTGGCCCCGCGGGCGGCTGTTTGCACCAGCTGGCCGTGTGAGGAGCCGTGTCCCCGTCTGTATGCAGCACTGTGCTCTGTGCTGCCGCCCGCAGCCGGCGACTACTATAGGAGTGAACTGGCAGGGTGCACGGCATACGTGCGTCATATGCACTGACAGAAATGTGACGAGATCGGGCAAGATGTGACGCTTAAATAATTTAGGACGCGCCATGAAGTCGTTTCCTTTGTCCGCTTCCCGCCGCCAATGTCGGCTGCTTGGTATTGGCTGCTGGTGTCCTCTTTGGGCACCAGTATAAACATGAAAACGGCATCGGGTCTCCAGTTGGTAGTATTTATCTATTGAAGCCAGACTGCCTTCCTAAAACCAACACCCTTCTTATTGGACCCGATGCGGGGCCGAGCCGGCCGCTAAAATGACGTGGTCTGGCTTTGTTGCTGGCTCATCTGCTATTTCACCCAACTTTTGTGTTCCGTTCGCTGTTAAAAGCCATTGAAACGTGATGCGCGGCAATCTTTGGCTGCGACAGTGGTGCGGTCCCTGCAGAATTCCCGTCATCAAACCGGAGACTGGCCGCACTTTGGTTTCAATTCTCCCATCGGCGCCGGCCCGCAGTCCGCCGCCATGGCTGTCGCTGGTCACGCCCCTGCCCCTGCCTCTTGACTAGTGATGTCGATTTCAGAAATTTTGGAAACCAATACCAAACCGATACCGACCAAACCCACTGAGAGTATACCAAAACCGAACCGATTTTCAGAAATAGGGGGGAAATACCGACTAGATACCGAAATCAGGGAATTATCAGACATGTGCTTCAAACTTTCTCAAGACATATGATTAGCCTTGAAAGGTATCTAATACTTTAAAATAAGGGAACAAAAACAAATCAGGCAACCTCTTAACTATTTGCACTGCAAAAAAACATTCATAACTGTATTTTGTAACTATTAATATTCAGGTCAGTTATTTAACTGGAATGTGGATTCAAGTCATCTGCATAAGGTGTTAGAACAATAACTTGTCCATGCCTGAACCAACAAACGTTCTTTCAATTCCAGTCATTCATTTCGAGTCCGGTCAAGACAGGGTTAAGTGTGTTATCATGATCCAAAAGTGGTGACCCCATTGACAATGATGAGCTACACCTTGGGCTACACCATTAATGTAAACAAAACCCATGATACCTACAGTTCAACCGTTCAACCCAAGTAGCATGGTGATTGGTGACGATACTGACGCAGCCAATTTTTCTTCATAAACAAATGTTTAACACAACAAAACTTGATAAATGATTACTTACGAGGCACACTGATAGATAGCAGACACCACTGTAATGATATCGCGATGAAATCTAAGTAAAATGTCCATAATTTTACGGAAGCATTGACACACGTCACGTGTCATCTCTTCCATAATGGCGGCCTTAGAGGCGGCGGCCATTGGCATTAAGCTGTATAAAATAAAGTTTTTCTTTTCTTTTCCTTAAAGGTAGACTGCCACCTTTTTTTCACAAAACGGTTTTCACTAGAGCTGAGCCACCTATGTCCCAGACTGAAGTCGGTTTTCCGTTTTCCGAAATTCGAACCCGTTTGCGAGAAATCGGAGACCAAAGAATTCAGTTTGATGCCATTTTTTTAGTCCAAGAAAACCGACATCTCTACTGTTTATCGATAACTTTGAAACATGAATTTTCTTATCTTTTGGTAAATATATGTCAAAACTTTGATTGTTTCGAGATCAGAGAAGAATTTTGGAGTGTCAAAATAAAAGTTAAACTTATATATTCAGTAGTTCATTTTTTCCAAAAAAGTGTGGGAAATGGGGTTTAACATGGGCCAGACCCATTCCAAATGAGCCATGATTTTTTTAATGTTTTACGAACTTAAATGCAAAATAAATTAAACATGGCCAATTTCTTATGAAATCATATATTAGTAAATCATAAAATACCTTACTTTTTCAAAAAAAAATGTAATAATCTTATGACCTTGAAGTCTAGTGATGTGTAAACATTGTCGCTAGACATTAACCGATTGATAATTGTATGATAATCGACAATTTTTTTCGCGATTCACGTGATGATACTTTGTCAGGTGAATTCTAAAATTTTGTTTTGTCCAGGGAATAAATCATAGGCCGATCTGAGAAAACTTTTTGAAGGTGGCAGTCTTCCTTTAAGTCCACTTAAATCAAAATTCCTTGTATAAATTTTGACATCTTAAAATTAATTCAAAAAAGCTTGTAGGCCGTTTTTGCTGAAAAATGAAGTACCAGAAAAACAAAGTTGTTCAATTATTTTCAATTAGCTATTGAGCTACATCGGTACTTGGCGCAGCTGCGACATTGAAATGTTTTTAGATGTGTTCAGTTTTGAAACTGCTGTGTGCGAATCAAGCCAAAAACCAATTATATTTTATTAATGCTTATGATAACATTGCTAGCGATCTGTATCTGTTGAGGTGAGCAGGAAAGAGAACACTAATTGAAGAAAATAAATTATCCACAGGATCATGACAGGATCGCTCACTACAGAGGCTTTTGAAGTTGAGCGAAGTTGAAGATTTGTGGGATGATGATGAAGTGACAAATGCTGCCTTCAATATTAGATGATAATGGTGAATCTAGTGCTGTATTAAACAGGGTTTTGGATAATGTAATTGCATTGCAGTGAAATGGAGAGCAAGACAAGGTCAAGATCAATCACAGACTCCTCAAAACAAAGTCAAATTTGTTGCTAATAAATGCTTTGGAAATTTTGAGAAAGGCAGTTAAAGTATGTTTTCCAGCATACAGTGAGTAAAACATTAATTCATGTTCATGTCTTGCACATTGGCTTTCTTTGTAAGATAATTATCCTCATGGTATTGGAATTTGCTAACACTGATACCTAACTGATAAGTTGCCATTGAACATTGGTGGTCTGATGTATTTGATATTGCAGCTCATGTGTTTGCCCATTTGTTAGGACATCATGCATTTGAGAGAAATGTGTCATGATTGCCATTTTTTCTTCATCCAGTGTCATTTAGCAAATCAATTTTGAGTTCAGAAGGTTTATCAAAAATGCTTTCAAATCTTTTATGGCAGTAGTTGATTTTCATGATACCGACAAAATACCAAATGCTTTTGGTATATCATACCGAATACCGAATCGGTTTTGGTTCGGTATCGGTATACCGAAATTTTGGTAACCGATTGACACCACTACTCTTGACCCTGGCCCTGCCCCTGGCCCTGCCCCTGCCCCTGCCCCTGCCCCTGTCCCTGCCCTGCCCTGCCCCTGCCCCTGCCCCTGCCCCTGGCCCTGGCCCTGCCCCTGCCCCTGTCCCTGCCCCTGCCCCTGCCCCTGCCCCTGCCCCTGCCCCTGCCCCTGCCCCTGCTCCCTCCAAGAGGAGTGTCAGGCTACCCGGTAGTTTGCGCGAGCCGCTGCTGTTGTCGCCTTTGAGTGCCCTGGATATTGGAATAAGGAGCAGGGACTGTGCGCCTTCACACGCCACAGCAGCGGGACAACTTGAGCCTGCTACCCAACACAGGAACGCTGTTTTTTGTCATTGCCATTTTGATGAAAACTGTACAGTGTTATGTCATATATTACGCATTCCTTTGTCATGACATGCCGTTACAGAACATATTCACTAACCGCTCAAGGAATGTGTTCAATTTTTGTAGAGTCCTAAACGTAATGCTTCATTTTAGATGTCACCTGTCCTTATGCATGTCTGTGATGATCAGTGTGTTGCCGGTGGTGTGCTCTGTATCGGCCATCATTCTCTGGACATATTTGGGCTGTTCTCTCATCGGACGTATGCTTCTGGGGTTATGGGGCGGTGGGTGCCATTCACCGACACATGTACCGGTGGTGTGTAGTGTGTGCCATATCGGCGGTGTGAGGTGTGTGCCTACTCGTCTGTTTGTGGTTTGTGCCGACGCAGCGGTGTGGGGTGTGTGCAGGTGGAGTGTGGGTGTGTGCGGGGTATGGGGCGGTTCGACGGTTTGTGGTGTGTGCCGGTGGTATGTGGTGTGTGCCGGCGGTGTATGTCTGTGTGTGTGTGGGGGGGGGGAGTTATGTGGTGTGTGCCGGCGGTGTTGGCCGGGTGCGTGCTGGTGGGCAGCCAGACTCACCGGACGCCGTGTGCCGCCCAGGCCAACACCAAGGACATCGGAGGCCAGCACACCACCTCCGACTTTATGAACGCCGTCATTCACTCGCTCGACTTCAAGTGAGCAGGTCCGCCGTGTGTCCGTGTTTGTGTGTCTGTCTGTGTGTGTCGGCTGACCGCGGCGGCCGTGATCCCGGGCCGGCCGCCGGTCGGCAGTGTTTGCGGTGTCTGCCTGCCACTAACCGCCGTCCTGACGGGCGCTAACCAACTTGTCGCGTCGATGACCGTATGCTAGCTGTAGTTAGCGGTGCCGTGTCGAGCTGTGTGCGGTGGCGTGCGCTGGTCGAACGGCCGTGTGTCTGTCCCGTGCATGCGTGTGTCGCCGTTTGACTGCAATACGTACTGTCAGCTGGGGGCGAGTAGTTAGAGCTGCCTGTGGCGGCGGCCGCAGCGGCCGTCCGGGCGGGCGCACAGGGGCGGGGATGGGAGCAGTGCCGGCGTGTGTTACTGCGCCGGGTCACTGCGCCGGGGTGTGGCTCCAGTCACTGCGCCGGGGTGTGGCACCAGTCACTGCGCCGGGGTGTCACTGCTCCGGTGTGACTGTCACTGCTCCGGCGTGCGTTACCAGTCACTGCGCCGGGGTGTGGCTCCAGTCACTGCGCCGGGGTGTGGCTCCAATCACTGCGCCGGGGTGTGGCTACAGTTACTGCGCCGGGGTGTGTTACCAGTACTGCGCCGGCGTGTCACTGCTCCGGTGTGACTGTTACTGCGCCGGGGTGTGGCTCCAGTCACTGCGCCAGGGTGACTGTCACTGCGCCGGCGTGTGGCTCCAGTCACTGCGCCGGCGTGACTGTCACTGCGCCGTGGTGTGGCTCCAGTCACTGCGCCGGCTGGCAGGGCCGGACAGGGCGGGGCGGGGAGGTGTGGGCTACATTATCCAGTAGTGCATTTACGCGCAACTTGTGGAGGTTTGCCACAAAAAGTCCACGGAAGAAATGTGTGCCGACTGCGGACCGAAGGCTTTCAGTGGCCGGCGGCCGGGCCGCTGGGCTGGTGAGTTTCTGCCGGCACGATGTTTGAAGTTTGGCAGTCGTAGGCAAGTTTGACTGTGCCAATCTGGTGTTGGCAAAAGATTGATGCAAAAGCTTAACTTCGTCAAACCTCGGCTGAATGTGGCTGGCTCGTTTTTTAGCGCTTTTAGTCTGCGGTGATGTTTTTTCTCGATGTCTTTTTTCAACAATGGCGTACAAATTGGCATATTGTCCATTTTCTCTGAATCAAAGTAGTAATTGAATGAATTCAGTGAATCCTTTTCACTACCCAAACTCTGCTTCCCACGCCCTGTAATTTCGGCGAGTGTAGCGATGCTTTTTATGGGAGGCTTGCATCTGTCACAATTGCACGATTGAGTCCAGAGCTTCTGAATCCAGAGGCGTGCGCCCTTGTGCACCGCCCCGTGTACGTAGTAATTAGGACAGCGTCGGTCCGTTTCATATCTCAACTAACGAGAGGAGAGAGGAGAGGTGACATGTGCGCGATATCGAAAGTGATGGCGCTGCGTCTCTTCCTTTGGGAAATGGCGTTCTGCGTGGTCTTAACCCTAGAACGCCTAGGGGGGGGGTTGTATCAACCCCCCCCCCCCTGAGGTTTTTTCGAAGTGCACGCTAAACGGCTTGTCGTAGCGGGCTGAAATTTTCAATACCCTCTGGGGCAACCTTTGCGCATCTTTTGCCGAAAAAAATTGATCGGGTCATGTCAGGTCACGGAGTTATGACGTCATAAGAGGTACAGCCTCCGGCCGACAGTTACCAAACGTGTGCGCCGAATCCCTAGGTTTTCTGCCGGTGATACCCACATTGTTTGATGGATCATGATGAAACTTCCCATGCATGTTGGGGCAAGCATTGGCTATCGTGTGGTGCAAGAAAATTGACCGGGTCAGGTCAGGTCACGGAGCTATGACGTCACAAGAGGAACAGCGTCCGGTACTATTTTTGAAAAGCGCCCGAACCACTATTTTGCTAATTCTTGTCACCTCAATGGGAATATGCAGCAATATTAGCTTCTATAGGGAGCAAATGGACCTCCCAAATCCAAAAATACAATCATTTCAAGAATTTAAATTTTGATTTTTCGAATTTCTGCCGCCGACTGTGACCTTGCCGACTTCCGGCGCTCCCAACGCGCCATTTTTAGAGCTAGGGAAACGAAATACATACCAAACGATAGAGAATTGATCAAGGAACACGATAGTGAAGGTTTCAAGTCGATATCTCCCACCGTTTTGCCGCAATCGCCGCGGAAAGTTGAAAAAGTTTGATTTTTTCGGAAAATTTGACCTTTGACCGGTCATAAGTAGGTCAAATGTTGACCTAGGACCAAAAAATATACCACCAATCGCGAGATCTCGTTGAGAGTAATCCGTTGGTTTTTTCCGCTAAGCTCTACGACCTTCCGTTTCGAAACGCCAGGGGGGGTCGTAACAACCCCCCCCCCCCTGGTCGTTCGTGTTATGAGAAATGGCCTGGTCGTGCGAGGGTTAATCTAATCGACTATTCCATATGTTCCATATGTAAGTGCAAAGCACAAGACTGCGAAGGATTTGTGCTTTAGGATTGCGTCTTTTACCAAAACTGAAAACGCACCCTTCAGAAAGCAGTGCACTCATTGTTCTAAGGTCGGTTCTGTCGCTGCTAAGGACAGGTCTTCCAGTTATGAGAAGGCACGGTTCTTGTGTTTTGGCGATCGTGGTCTTCTAAATAGACTGGAGCTCAAGTGCATTGGTCTTTGAATGAGGTTATTTTTCTTCCATTTTTGTTTATTTGAATTCCCTAAAGTTAGCCGCACTTTTATCGAAATTCGAAAGTCGATGTGAGAGGCGAGAGCAAACTGGTGGCCCACCAATCACCATTCACTCCCGCGCTAAAAATGGCTCGGCTGGTCGCACCGATAACAATAGTCGTCATCGAAAACCGATGTGCGGCGGGGGGCGTGGAAGCGGACCGGGCCGTGTCAGGTGTCGAGGGCGGGCGGGCGCCGGCCGGGCGGGCGCCGTGGGTCGGCTGTGCCCATCCCGTGCCGTCGTCTGCAGACGGCGGCGCCTCGCCGACGCTCGTCCCTCGCTCCGTTCACCGATGGGCGTATGGCGTGCGTCGCGCAGCGCGGCCGCCCGCACCAGTCGCCTGCCGGTCCTCCGGGGCTGCGGCATAAAGAACGGCCTCCGCCGCGGCCCACATTTCGCAGACGTGGCTTGATTATGGTCTCGTTACGGCGCTGGCGTAGCCGGTGTTTTTGTCCGGAGAAGCGGCCGCATTGGCCGCCCGGGTCGCGCATCATACGTCTTTGGGCGGCAGAGAACAAAAGGCAAGCGGGGTAATTGGTCGGAGCCGATGTAGCGTGAGGAGCGATTACTCTCCGTCCCTACGAGACGGCTGGCCCTTCACGACAGGCTGTTATGGTTGTCGTGGTAACTAATCCGGCTTGTCAAGTACTTATTATGCCCGGCCTCACTCACTCAGCGAGTGACGCCAACAAAAGTGCCGTCGCCAATTGGAGCAGTTTGCCGTCGTTTTCGACGTGAGTACGACTGCCGAGCGGGGCGGCGGGGCCGCCGCGGGCTCGCTCCGTGCTCGTGCCGTGTGGTGTCGCGGGGGAAATCGGCGGCCGGCGAGCCCACCCGGCCGTCCTCGGCCGCCGGCTAACCTAATCTGAAGTCGCCGCGCTCTGTGCGGATGTGTCCCGGCTGGGCCGTGCCGTTTGTTCCGCCCCGGGCGCGGGCCGCCGGTGACCGGGAGCGGCTCGGCGGGCTCCACACGTGTCCGCTGTGATCGTCCAGCGGCGGCGGACGGAGCTGCGCGCCGGCCGCGCCGACACCGGCAGGAAATCACACGGAAATGGCACAGCTCGGGGCGGTGGTGTGCACCCATCCATCCCGGACGGTCGCCGCCGGCCGGTGGGCGCCGCCCGAGAGCCTTTCCTGGGAGTGGCGCGGTCCGGCCGGGGTGCACACTGGCCGGTGGATGTCGCCTGAGAGCCCTATCGGCGCGACCCAGCTGGGCGTGGGAGCGGCGCGGGCGAATGGGGGCGTAGTTGTGACACCATCTGGTGTATTGTGGCCGAGCGCGGGCCGGGCCGCGGTCTGTCGACTGCCGAGTGTCTGCCTGTCTGGGGTGTCTGCCGAGTGTCTGCCTGCGGGACCGGCGGTGTCTGCGGGGTGTCTGCCTGTCTGCGGCGCCCCCTCTGCTCCCGTCCCCCACTGACCCCCGCCGTTCCCCCCCCCCCCACTGACCCCCGCCGTCCCCCACTGACCCCCGCCGTCCCCCCACTGACCCCCCGTCCGGCACCGGCAGGTGAGGACCAAGGACATGCGCGGCCACTCGACCACCACCGAGTTTCAGCGGGCGGTGATCGACAACCTCGACTTGTAGCTCCCCTCCCGTCCGCTCCCCGCCGCGCCGGCGGCAGCGGCCGCGCCGGTCCGGCCGATAGCGCGGCGGCTCTCCGCCACTCAGACAGGTGATACTAGACGAGCGGTCCGCCGCAGCGCTGCCGGCGGTCACTGCTAGGTAGGCCTGCTTCCAGTGCAATAGGCTGATTCAGATGTCTAGGAGTATTTTGGACTGGCATTTTACCTATTCTGTCGACTATCCATCATTTGACGCACTGTGTCGTCTGTCCTTAGTTCCTTTGTGCCCTGTCGGCGCGGTGTTGTCTGTTATCGATCAGTATTTCGGTCACTTTCGACCCATGACCAGCGAACCCTTCCGTCTCCGTCTGTTCTGTACTCTGGGCTCCCGGGCGGGCGGCGGCGAGGCCCGGCCGTCCGCCGGTATTTATTGTTGACGTGCTGTGCCCGCTCGGCCCGGGTCGCTGCTCGGTGAGCCGTGTAACAGGCGAAGGTGTTGTATCTGCCCAATGACCGGCCGTGTGTGGACGAATGTGGAGCGTGCGAAATATACGAGTGATGTCTGAAAGGTACTGTTTGCTTATGGGAGTCTGGCCGGTGATCACAGGCCGAGTTGCACGGTTAACTCATAACTGCTGTACACATGAAGTCAAAAACTGTTCACCTCGGGAGGTGAACTGGTGGGAACGGGAGGTGAACTGGTGGGAACGGGAGGTGAACTGGTGGACACGGGGGTGAACTGGTGGGAACGGGAGGTGAACTGGTGGGAACGGGAGGTGAACTGGTGGGAACGGGAGGTGGACTGGTGGACACGGGAGGTGAATTGGTGGGAACGGGAGGTGGACTGGTGGGAACGGGAGGTGAACTGGTGGACACGGGAGGTGAACTGGTGGGAACGGGAGGTGAACTGGTGGGAACGGGAGGTGAACTGGTGGACACGGGGGTGAACTGGTGGGAACGGGAGGTGAACTGGTGGGAACGGGAGGTGAACTGGTGGGAACGGGAGGTGGACTGGTGGACACGGGAGGTGAATTGGTGGGAACGGGAGGTGGACTGGTGGGAACGGGAGGTGAATTGGTGGGAACGGGAGGTGAATTGGTGGGAACGGGAGGTGAACTGGTGGACACGGGAGGTGAACTGGTGGGAACGGGAGGTGTGGAAACGGGAGGTGAACTGGTGAGTGGCGAGCACTGTAAACTGGTGGGCCCCGGCCTGCTAACTGGATCACTCGCGCTCGGTCCGGCTGGTCTCAGGCACGCTGCACATGTTCACGTCAGTGATTGCCGGGCCTGGTCAGCCATCCATAGCAGGAGCCTGGAGGTTAGTCTTTAGCGTCCATCCGTCCGCTGCCCTACCCCTGCGCGCGTCACATGCTCAGACGGTCAAACACAGGCCAGACGGTAAGACTGTCAGACTAGACAGACAATCAGAAGCAGTCAGTCAGACGGTCAGACGCAGATGATCAAACGTAGTCGGTCAGGCGGTCAGATGCAGACGGTCTGAGGGTCAGACTGTCAAAAGCGGGTCAAACACAGACTATTAGACGCAGTCGGTCAGACACAGGCAGTCGGACTCGGATGTTCAGTCAGACGGCGGAGTTGGCCCGCGGAGCTGTCTGTCGTCCCGCACGGTCACACGGCGTTTGACCCCATATATTTAGTCCCGCGGGGCCCTGTCCCATACAGTCCCGTGGCGTCCCCGCCCTCCCTGTCCCAGGTAGTCCCGTGGTGTCTCGGCCCGTCCAGTCCCATCCTGTCCCGCACTGGTCATCTCGGCCCGTCTGTCCCTGTTAGTCCCACGGCGTCCCCGCCCTCCCTGTCCCGCAGACGGCCGGCCGCCAATCCGTCGGTTCGCGCTGCGATCGGAACTTGTTTCGACAACGCCGAAAAATGGTCCCCCAGTGGGCCGTCAAAGGCCGCCGTCGGCCGGCAAAAACCTACCCAAATCGTAATGGCAGCGGCGGTTCTTGCAAACACCGCGCTGCTATTCGAGCTCTGAGGGTGACCAATGCATACTAATGGAAAACTTTATGCGACCGCTGAGCCGTGCGGAATGGGGGAGACTTAACACTTCAAATAACGTTTCGCAGGGGTTGACAGCTGATATATGTCACCAGCTTTAATATGCCGGTTAAATGCCTCAGCTGTTGTCCCCATCATGCCCACGATAAGCTCGGCGTTGTGATATAAAACGCTGACACATAAAATGTCGCCAGTCGTAACTCGGTGCCAGCTCTGCTCGTAGTGGTGTTAACCCGGGCCAAATATTGTTTGACGGCGTTGTTTATGCAGCGCTTATTGCAGGAAGTAGTTACCATTATCCGTTCAAGTCAGTAATAACGTGTGTCGTGAGGCTCGTTTTAGAAAGCCTCCTGGCCCTGTGTACCAACCGCCCCATATCGGCGGCCGAGACACAATCTGCGAGCGAGTGAGGCGCAGGCCCTCGGGTTGTGCGGGACAGCGACAGTGCAGGCTCGTGTTCTGTGACCCGGTCTGGGCGCTCGTTGTTGAGTTGTGCGGCACAGGGTCGCTACCTCAAGCGGTCGCTACCGAGCTGTGCACTGCGGCGTCAGTTTTGGGCGCGTTGTCGATTTGTGCGGCACAGGGTCAGCTTTGGGCGCCTTGTCGAGTTGTGCGGCACAGTATCAGCTCAGGCGCTCGTCCGTGGCGACATCTAGGAGCGTGCCTGTAAGCAGATGCTGTCCCGGGCGGTCGCACAGGTAATATTGTATTGGCTGCAGTGACATGTTTGATGTTAGCTGCAGCCTTATGACAAGTGAAATACAACTTCCTCAATGGAAGCTCGGCGTAGTTACGGTGCGGTAGGTATGAACCACTGCGCTTCTTGTCTACGATAAACGGACTTCACTCATCCGCTCGCCATCTAGGTAGTTCTACTATACCTACTTTCTGACTAACTCTTTCACTCGTTGAGTACCAATCTATGGATTTTATAGCAATTAGTATATAATGAAATAATCTTCCTTTTCTAGCCGGATGCTATCCTTTCCAATATGACTAATTGTAATAAAGGGATGACGTCTTAACGTCGGTAATAATAAATACTTGACTACTGATTAGCATGTCATGTGACATCGACCGTGTGTGATCACACGCTTTTCGTTGGTAAATTCAGTAAATTATATCGACTGATAACCGACTTCCATGGCGTCTGGGACGCACTATTCGTGTTGCTGATGCGCTCCATGCGGACTGAAAAATGAAGATGGCTTGGAAAACTGCACACATTGTCTCTGTAACCCATCGTCACACTATAAGATATGCCCGAGGCCCGCACCGACCAACTAGTCATCGCCTTCTGGTCACTTAGCCGAAATGAGCTCTCCACTGTGCGGCTGCCGCCCGGCCGCTGATCTGGGTGGCTTCGGCGCTGATCTGGGAGCGGTCCTATCAAACTCGGGCCGGCCGGGCCCTATATCGAACTGGGGCCGGCCGCGGCGATCAGTCGCACTCGGCCGCCGCCGGGGGCCCGGACCATCCATCTCGTTATGAGGTGATTAGCGCCGCTGTCGGCCGGCCCCGCGGCGGCAAAGGCCAGACCCCGGTCACCGCGCGCCCCAGTTCAGTTCCTCGACCGCCCCACGGCGGAACCCGGGTCACCGCGCGCGCCCGAACTCAGTTCCCATACCGCCCCTCGCCCCGCGCGCCCGAGTTCAGTTCCCAGACCGCCCCTCGCGGCGGCAAAGGCCAGGCCCGGGTCGCCGCGCGTCCCGAGTTCAGTTTCCCGACCGGCTCAGTTCAGCAGACAGACAGCCGCCGAAAACCATGGAAAGGAAACCACAGCAAATGGAAAACCGTGACATCCTTTTACATAAGTGCGTTGCAGAGGGTAGGAATGCTTAGAGTAGACAAACACCCTTCCCTCCGGCGAACTCAGCAGCAGGTAGGGTCGGGATTTTGTAACCGCTACTAGCTGGCTTTCAGGTATGTTTAGCTTCTACTGCAAATGGGATACTATTCCTAACCATTCCCTTGGATGAGGAAGAGCATAATCGCATGAACTCAGTTTGAGAAACTCAAACTGCCACTTTATTGAAGCATCGGAGCGTTACTGTCTCAGCATTATGCTGTATCAGCCTTCTGAACTGCGCACTGTGACGCTGTTCATCACATTAGCCTTATGGGACCAAGTGTCCGCAATATCCGCAGGGTATTCAGCAGGTCGATCAGCTTATCGCCCTAACGAGCATACCTCACCACTGACCGCCGAGGGATCGGCAGCAGCGCCGGCCGTGCGGCAGAGTGGCGGAGGTGGTTATATGACAGTCAATGCTCACCGGGAACGGGCGCAGCCCGACTGCTAATGCGCCTCGTCGGCAGTTAATGCCGATATTTGTCTGACAGATACATAGCTGTCATGATGTGATATTTCGGAGTAAAGCCTTTAGAAAAGGCTTTACTCTGAGGCTTTACTTACGGAGTAAAGCCTCAGAAAGGTAGCTGCATTCACAAATAACAGCTTAAATGATGTCTGAGACCAGAAAAGTCGGTCAATCGCAAAGGGGTTTTTAATTCACGAAGATTTCTGGCTTCAAGTCGCTGTCTCAGGCCCGAAGGACCGTCAGATGGGGCCGGGATTCAGTCGCAGTGTCAGATTAGTGCGGGGGGTCAGTTCAGTCGCGGTCTCAGGTCAGTAGGGGGGCGGGGCTCAGTCGCGGTCTCAGGTCAATAGGGGGGGGGGCGGGGTTCAGTCGCGGTCTCAGGTCAGTGAGAGGCCCCGGTCTCAGGTCAGTGAAGGGTCCGCAGTCTGAGGTCAGTGGGAGGCCGCCGTCTCAGGTCACTGGGATCCGCCGTCTCAGGTCACTGGGGTCCGCCGCCTCCCGCCGCGGTGCCGTCGGCGCTGGTCCGCCACCAGTCGTCTCTCGGACGTCGTTCCCGTCGGATGCGCGGGCTCCGCTGCTCTGCCGGGCGCCACGCGAGCTCGCTCTCCGCCGTGTGAGGGGCGTGGGCCGGACAGCGGGTGTGGGTGCGGTCACCGAGGTCCGAGCAGCAGCCACAGGCACGGTCTGCAGAGCGAGCGCGCTGTGCAGGGAGTCCGCAGGGCGCCCGGTGTCGGCAGTCGGGTGCCACTGGGCCGACCACCGCCGGCGGGCTGCTGTCAGAAGGTGAGTATCCAGCTGAGGAAACGTGCGGCGGACACCCAGAGGGGAACGGCGGACATCCAGAGGGGAACAATCACATATTGGTACGCGTAAACATTTTTATAGACTCCTCCTTTACAGCATATAAGACGTTTATGGCGTAAGCAATGTTGAAAGCGCCGCGTCAATGCCTCTGCAAGTTGAACGCATTATATCTATAGGTACCTACTTTCGCTTGTGTATCTCGTTCTTATTAAAGTCAAGGTGTACCGGAAACTATCCGTGAACGCTAACGACGCCACGTGCTCTTAAATGCACGCTGGAAGGCTGTAGGTGAAACACTCTGAGTACATTGCATACCAATTAGGTAATTGAGCGGGCTTGCCAGCTAATTCTGCCGTGACACACCCGCACATGGCTTTTGAAATACCGCTGTTCAAACGTCGCGTGACGTCGCAAATTGACAA